GGTGCCATGTGACTTCCGACCTTGTCCAACCCAGTCCAACATGGGCACCTCCACATCATCACTACAGTAGTACAGAGACAACGTAAGTCACATGCTCAATCACCTGACTCTTGAGGAAATAGTACAATCAACTGACCAGACAGGCAACCAAACATGAATTAAATAAAATCCATGAAATGTCTGGTTTAAATATGATGAAACTGTAGAATTTATTTTCCTGCTGATTTACTGTCACCAGGTTACCCCTTGAACATACTGCACTGACCTCTAGTGGTCATCATTGTGAGGTTAACTGTCGTGAGGGTTAAATGTGGAAAATCAAACTCTACCTTGTTATAGCATTCACATAAATCCTTTTTTTGGTCGTTTGTAACACTAGATGCAAAGTAGTGTTGCCACTACTTGATGCATAAAAGGATACAACTATATTTATGGTACTTATGAAATGGTGAAATATTCTTTGTTCTATAATATTATAAGGTCACTCATTGTCCATGAAACCCTTCAAAAATGGAAGGAGTATTTCTATTTAACCTAAGAACACAGCAACCTACAACTTATTAAGTGGACAGCTTACTTAAAGACATGTTAATGGTACTGACTGTCTTGAAAACTTGCTCTAATCTGAATACTAGAGCAAAATATTCTGTTCGGACTAAACATAAAACTCTTAACAAGCCAGATAAATCCCAAATTAAGATGAACCATGAATCTGTTCCATAATCAGTTAGGAGAAAGAAAAGGTAGATAAATCCAGAAAACCAGAAAGTTACAAAGTTTGAAATTCAACGTGGGAATAAGAAATCATCAAGTATGTGTACAGAATATATTTTAAAGTTGAGGTTTACTTTGTGTAAAAATCTTCTCTGCTCATGTCACACTGAAAGACTCCTGGAAATGTTCAAAAATGTTTTTATGCCTTTTTTATGATAATAATTCTCAATTTAACTTAACAACATGCTAAGTTGAATTCAAAAGTTAACTTTCTTTGCATTTATCGTTCAAAGAAGTTGGATTTGAAATGTTTTTAGATTGTCCACAGCTTTGAAAAATCACTGGGTTCTTTAACTATTTCTATTACTGTCTCATCGAGCTGTCTCTGAATGATGTGGGCAATGGTAAGGCTGTTGGGAAAATGTGGCAAGAGGGAAAAATTAAAATTTTTGGCATTAAGGATGAAGGATTTTCATCTTAAGGTTTCAGAGGCTAGTTGACAACTTTATTAAGAAGCAGTGGAGGGATTAGTTTCAAGCATTAACATCTCATAATCACTGCATCTCACTTCAGGTTGCCAGTCTCCCTGGTACGAGTGAAAAACTAGATGAAGCCAATTTCCTTTGTGAAAGAACATTAACCTGGCAGCTTGCAGCTCACTGACATCTTCTCTGGGCTTCCATCTAGAAAAACATTCTCTAACATCTCATAGCATGCACCATTGGCTGTAACCACTTGCACCCTCCATGCACAAACGTTGGCACCACCATCCTCATCACATCATCATTACCCTTCTTGGATTAATTTAGTCATTTATAACACTTCAGTACTGCACTTTGGAACTTGTTGATACTTTACATCGCATTGCTATTGCCAGATTGTTTGTGTGCAGGACAGGGACCCATCTCATGCTTTGGTGCACTCTGGTGCGGCCGCACTTGGAGTATTGCGTACAGTTCTGGTCACCGCATTATAGGAAGGATGTGAAAGCATTGGAAAGGGTGCAGAGGAGATTTACCAGGATGTTGCCTGGTATGGAGGGAAGGTCTTATTTGGAAAGGCTGAGGGTCTTGAGGCTGTTTTTGTTAGAGAGAAGAAGGTTAAGAGGTGACTTGATAGAGACATACAAGATGATCAGAGGATTAGATAGGGTGGACAGTGGGAGCCTTTTTCCTCGGATGGTGATGGCTAGCACGGGGGGACATAGCTTTAAATTGAGGGGTGATAGATATAGGACAGATGTCAGAGGTAGGTTCTTTACTCAGAGAGTAGTAAGGGCGTGGAATGCCCTGCCTGCAAAAATAGTAGACTCGCCCACTTTAAGGGCATTTAAATGGTCATTGGATAAACATATGGATGATAATGGAATAGTTTAGGTTAGATGGGCTTCAGATTGGTTTCACAGGTCGGTGCAACATCGAGGGCCGAAGGGTCTGTACTGCGCTGTCATGTTCTATGTTCTATGTTCTATGGAACATGGTGCATCTCAGGGTTCTGAGCTTGCCTAGCTTTCACTCTCTTTGTGCTTACATGGGTGCTCACAGCAACTCTGCCTTGCCTTTTCTTTTATTACAAACTGAAAGCCAGGAAGCATGTTGTGTTAACTAGCAATGGACAATCAGGAGGGTGCTCATAGAGTCATAGAGATGTACAGCACAGAAACAGACCAACTCATCCATGCCGACCAGATATTCTACATTAATCTAGTCCCATTTGCCAGGATTTCGTCTATATCCCCCTAAACCCTTCACTTTCATGAACCCATCCAGATACCTTTTAAATGTTGCAATTGTACCAGTCTCCACCACTTTCTCTGGCTGCTCATTCCAAATGCACACCACTCTCTGCATGAAAAATTATCCCTTAGGTCCCTTTTATATAGTTCCCTTCTCACCTTAAACTTATGCCCTCTATTTGTGCACTCCCCTACCCTGGGGAAAAGATCTTGGCTATTCATCCTATCCATGCCCCTCATGATTTTATGAACCTCTATAAGGTCACCCCTCAGCCTCGAACATTCCAGGGAAAATAGCCCCAGCCTGTTTAGCCTCTCCCTTTAGCTCAAACCCTCCAACCTCGGCAACATCCTTGTAAATCTTTTCTGCACCCCTTTCAAGTTTCAAAACATCTTCCCTCTAGCGGGGAGACTAGAATTGAATGCAATATTCCAAAAGTGGCCTGACCAATGTCCTATACAACCACAACATGACCTCCGAACATTGCTATATGGCATTGTGCTACATCAATCTAATGCCTACATAAGGCGGCAGCCTCTTACATAGAAAAAACACTGAATTTGCTTCAACCAAAGTCTTTGCCCTTAGACCATTCAAGGGGGACTATCATCTGCGAGGAGGCAGGTCTATCCTCAGTCAGGAAAGGTGGTGAGTTGTCCCGAGCGAATGAGTAGGAAGCACAGAGAGCAGGAAGGGTTAGTAGTTGGAAGCGGGGTGGGGGAACGGGATGGGTGAGAGAAAGTGATGCATACAATAGAGTTTGGTAAATCGTGGGCCTCGGTGGGTGGAGGGTGCAGTAGCAGAGTTAGAGTGTGCGTGAGGTAGCAGAGAGAAGATAGTGGCACTTACTCTCATGTCACGCAAAAGCACTTTCTTGCAGTGCTGCTGCACATGCCTCTGGACAGTGGACACTGGGCTTATTCAGAGTGGCAACTTCAGACCAGTCCGACAATGTGTGAAAAGGCACAGAGCTGGGCTTTAAAATATGGTGTCAACAACATGAATGATATTTCTGTTGCTGCCAAGCACAAGATTGCTCAAGAGTGGGGCCGTAGAGACGAGGTGTGTACTAAAAGTTGCTGGGTCTCACAGAGGGAAACATGAAGGTTTGGTAAGATACGGTAAGATAGCTCACCACATCCCACGGTGAAAATCCCTCCAAAAATCACAATGCAGTTTGGCCTCAGCCAAAAAAATGTAAAATGCAGCTCATTCTGTTTTTTGTTATTGATAATATTAGAAGTTTGTGCTTCATAATGTTAGGGGAAAATTTATTTCAGCTTCTGGGTATTTTAGTTCCATTGTCCAACAAGCCTGGAAGCTGCACTCCAAAAGAAATGGGGATTGATTTTTGGCCAATAGTTTCAGCTATGTAAATATTCTCCAATCAGGATATTTCACTGGAACAATCACCTTGTTTTTATTTGAATCAGAAGAAATGGAAACACCAGTATTGCTACAGATATTTTGATAGCTGTAAGGTGGTGCCATGAGATAAAATATTTAGACTAGAAGTGGCCTGTATCAATGTCTTCTTTTTATTTTCGACAATTTATAAGTTTACATGAGCACATCAGACAATAATACATTTGTTTTTTAGTTTTAAATCTCCGTTATCGCTGCTACTCCTTTTTCATAGAATACCTACAGTGTGCAAGCAGGCCATTTGGCCCAGAGTCCACAGTGACCCTCTGAAGAGCATCCCATCCAGACCTAATCCCCGATGTCCCTGTAACCCTGCATTTCCCATGGCTAACCCATCTAGCCTGCACATCCTGGACACTACGGGCAATTTAGTATGGCCAATCCACCTAATGTGCACATCTTTGGACTGCAGGAGGAAACCCATGCAGACATGGGGAGAGGGTGAAAACTCCACACAGACAGTTAGCCGAGAGTGGAATCAAACCCGGGTCCCTGGCAGTGCTAACCACTGAACCAGTACGGAACTCTCTTTCTTCATGAGGGTGCAGCCTCTGTATTGTTCACTTCTCTTCAAAACTGCAGTACACTGCAAATACTTTATACTTATATGACCCCTGCAAAGCAGACAGTCAGAACAGCAGCTATGTAAAAAAATGGTTTTTTGTAGAGGTTGGTTAGCTGGATGCACTGTGATGCCAATTGCATGGGTTCAATTCCTGCACCAGCTGAGGTTACCATGAAGGATTGTCCTTCTCAACCCCTTCTCTTGCCCAAGGCAATATGACCCTCGGGTTAAACCACCACCAGTTGTCTCTCTCTGATGAGACAGCAGCCCTGTGGTCTGGTAAGACTAAGGCAACTTTACCTTACCTTTGCAAAATAGTCAACAGTTCTGAGGAAGGGTCACCGGACTCGAAACGTCAACTCTGATTTTTTTCTTCACAGGTGCTGCCAGACCTGCTGAGCTTTTCCAGCAACTTCTGTTTTTGTTCCTGATTTACAGCAACCGCAGTTTTTTCGGTTTTTAAAACAGTCATTCCTATTTAACCTGACCAACAATCAGTTACTTTAAAAATAAATCCACAAAAAGTGATTCTTTCACATCCTGAAATAGATCCAGGAAATTTATTTTACACATATTGATGACCATTTCATTTTAATACATCACCAATGACTGGAACTTTTGTGATGCCAGTCATCCTCTTAATCTATTAGGATGAAATTACCAAGCAGCAGGATTCACTTGTATGTTACAGTCTGAATATTCTAAACTTGTTCCAGCAACTGGCTGCATTTTAAACTGGTTGGATAAAGTAATTGTGCCAGAACAGGTGGCAGCCCTACTTCTACCCAATTAAACGATTTCAACATTAATAGAAAGCTTATCAAACTTGAAGCAGAATGTAATGACATTAAATTTAGTGTTCCAGCAGAACTGAGAGAACATTGGACCTGCATCGGTGATAACAGCACCTATTGATTAAAGAAAATGTCAATTTTAATGCAGTTTTCCCATTTCACAAATGAAGCATTTATGACACCCATGGGATCAGACCCATTACTGCTTTTTTCATTAATCGAAATTCTGTCAATTAACCCCCGTCACACTTGCACAAGCATCTCTGATAACACGGCATCCTTTAAAATAACAGTCTCTGACACTCCATGGTCTGTGCTGTAGCACTGACTGAGGCCCAGCCATTAATAAATGCTTGAAATAACCTTCTCTTTGTACTTGACCCCTTCCAATACTGTAAAACCTTAATTCTTTGACTGTCAAATGCATTGTTATAGCTGGACATTCACTCCCCATTAACACAGAGTCAACCTTCTGGCTTTGCGAGTCATTTTTACATAACAATTACAAGGCTCCATACTCTGTCTTTCACATCAAGATACAACTTATTCCTCCTATTTCAATTCAATTTTTCAGCAAGAAATCTCTCTAATGCTGGTTTATTTCAATTGCTTAATTTAAACAGTTGGATAAATTGAGCAAAAACTACTGAGTTAAGAGGAGTAGCCTGCACATTTGCTTTAAAAAAAGTGAAAGCAATGTGCACTGAGACCATTTGAGATGTTTTGTGTGCATTTAAATACATAGCACATTAAATAGTTTGTTTTAAAGCATCACTAATAATAAATATATTTCGTCCTTTTTTAAAAATATTTTCACTAGAAACCATAAGCAAAGCAGCTAAGGCAAACATTAACCCAGAGTGACAGTTCTGCCTCCTCGTCTTGATACTGCAGAACGCCGACAAATTTTCATGGATGAGAAACGATCATTCAGGGTCATATTTGTCTGCAACAGAACAGATTGTTGGAAATAAATAAAACTGCTGGGAGAGGTACAAACTGCTCAAAGATACTTGGCATGGATTTGTAAAGCGAAGGTCAGATATGAATAATCCAGTTGAATTTTTGAGGGCTCTGGTGGTTAGAAAAATGTCTACACATGTAGCTATGTAGAATTTCAAAAGGTCTTTGATCAATGTAACAGATGAAAAAGCCGCAGGTATTCAATGTCAATTGAAGCTAGACATATGATCATCGTAGTGGCAGAACACAAGGGAGGGTATGTATGTTTTGAAATAAGAAACAGTCCTTGACTATTTTTTTGTAGATTTAATGTCTGTCAATTAAATACTGATATTAATTTTCCTGCCATTAGTTCTGTTTATTAGAAGTTTAATATTTAGAACCTGCTTAGATCAGGCATATAACAATGCTGTCACACCTCTCTGCCATTTCAAGTCTTGTTCTGCTGGTATAAATATTTTGTCCAGCTGTAGAGTGTATGAAACAAAGCAAAAACTTTATTTCAAAGACATTTGGTTAAGTACATGAACAAGAAATGTTTGGAGGGATATGGGCCAAGAGCAGGCAAGTAGGACTAATTTACTGTGGGATTATGCTCGGCATGGGCTGGTTGGACCGAAGGAAAACTGATGTTTTCCCAGCCACCATCAGTTCTGAGGAAGGCTCACCGGACAGGAAACGTTAACTCTGTTTTCTCCTTCACAGATGCCGCCAGACCTGCCGAGCTTTTCCAGCAACTTTGTTTATGTTGTGTTGGTTGGACTGAAGGGTCTGTTTCCATGCTGTGTGACTCTGTAAGTTTGCATTTATGACTTAGCTCCCTATTCACGAAGATAAATTTAACGATGCACTGGTGAAAAGATAGGCCAAACTTATGAAGTCATTTTGGCAAATTTAAACTGTCATTTTGCTGGATTATCTGCAAACTCTGCTGGGATCCAATGACTATGACAATCAATATGCAAAAGGAGGTATGCTGATTTTGTTTGAAGGGTGGATTTGTGCCTGAAGAGATGCAAACACTGACCAGTACCCTGACCCCTGGCACTTAATATGAGAGTTTATTCAGACATACAAATATAAAAACGTACAGGTTAGGAACATAAGTAGGCCATTCAGCCCTACAAGCCTACGTTGCCATTCAATAAGACCATGGCTGACTCATTTGTGTTCTAAATTCCACATTCCCATCTATCCAAGATAACCTCTGACCCCCTTGCCTAACAAAAACATTTACCTACCTTCGCCTTAAACATATTCAATGATCCCACCTCCGTGACCTTCTGAGGCCGGAAGTTGCACAACTTCCAAGAGAAAAAAACTATCCTAAAAAGGGGAACCCTAATTTTAAAAGCGTCCCCTAGTCCTCAATGCATTCACTACGTAAACTTCCTTTCCGTGTCTATCTTGTCAAGATCACTCAGGATCTTATACACATCAGTAAAGCATTCTTTGCTCCAATGTAAACAAGCCCAACCTGCTCACTTTTTCTTCAAAAGACATTCATAAGACATTCTCCTCACTCCAGGTATCAATTTAACAGACCTTCTCTGAGTTGCCTCCAATGCATTTATATCCTTCCTGAAATAAAAAAAACCAAAACTGTACACAGAATTCAAGACATAGTCTCATAATGTTTTGATTAGCTAAAGCATAACATCCTTACTTTTATATTTAATTCTTTTCCAAGTAAAGGCTAGGAACTCATTAGCTTTCCTGATTACATGCTGTTCCTGCATACTAACCTTTTGGGACTCATTTATGTATCATACAGTGGTTCCCAACAACTGCACCTCCATCCTGAAACTAGCTTTCAGAAGCTAAATTTGCTATTGGGCTTGTGCAGATGGGTGACTATGATGTACTGGCAGTATTTTAAGCGTTTGTTAGGTGCTCTCCAAATTCCAGCATTGGAAGACATTAGTATGCATGATTCTGGAATAAGTGCCAAGAAATAAAATTCACTGATGTGAGGGACGTAAAAGTGTTTTCACACAAAGGCAATTTGTCCTGGTTGAATGGAGTGGGTCTGATCCTAACTGTTCTGTAGCTTCACTTGAGAGTCACTTTAGTTTCTGACAACTTAACACAATTTGTTGTTGGCCTGGTCCAATCAAATGCATTCTCAGTCACTTTTTGAAAACATTGAAAATGTGCACAGTCAGAAACAAAGGCAAGGGTTGGGATGTCCCATTGTTTCATACCAGGTTTTGTGATCACATTGGGTCAGAATGATAGATTATTAAATATAAAATATTCAGGCTCTGGAACTGGACAGGGCATAAAAATGGTCTTGATCATCACTATGTGGTTACCCCATACTTTGTTGCTTCTGATGCAGATATCAAACAAATGTTTGCCTGCTAGATTAAATGACTGTAGTCTATAGCCAGTATTAAGCACACTTTTGAGAGGCAGCTCACCTGAGTAGGGAACAATAAATTGTGGGGATAGCATGAGATAAACATAGAAACATAGAATATAGGTGCAGGAGTAGGCCATTTGGCTCTTCAAGCCTGCACCACCATTCAATACGATCATGGCTGGTCATGCAATCTAGTATCCCATTCCTGCCCTCTCCCCGTACCCCTTGATCCCTTTAGCCACAAGGGCCACATCAAGCTCTCTCTTGAATGTATTTAATGAAATGGCCCCACCAGCTTTCTGAGGGAAAGAATTCCACAGGTTCGCAACTCTCTGAGTGAAGAAATTCTTCCTCATCTCAGTCCTAAATGGCTTACCCCTTATTCTCAGACTGTGACCCCTCGTTCTGGACTTCCCTAACATTGAGAAAATTCATTCTTCATATAGGATTTTACATGTTTCTGTGATATTCCCCACCTCATTCTTCTAAATTCCAGCAAATACAAGCCCAGTCAATCGAGTCTTTCCTCACGTGTCGGTCTTGCCATCCCAGGAATCAGTCAGGTGAACCTTTGCTGGACTCCCTCAAATAGCAAGAAAGTCCTTCCTCAGACTAGGAGACCAAAACAGCACACAATATTCAAGATGTGGCCTCACCAAGGCCCTGTATAATTGCAGCAAGACATCCTTATTCAAATCCTCTCCATAGCAATGTCCAGTTCTGGAGCCTGAATATTTTATATTTAGTAATCTACCATTCTGGCCCAATGTGATTGCAAAACCTGGTGAGAAACCATGGGGCATCCCATCCCTTGCTTTTGTTTCTGAACTTCTGAAAGCCATCAGCTTTCCTTACTGCCTGCTGCACCTGCATGTCAACCTTCAGCGACTGTTCCACCATGACACCCAGGTCTTGTTGCACCTCACCTTTTCCTAAACTGCCACCAATCAGATAATAATTTGTCTTCTTGTTTTTGCAACCATAGTGGACAATCTCACATTTATCCACATTATATTGCATTTGCCAAGTATCTGCCTACTCAGCCATTCTGTCCAAGTCACCCTGCCTCCTCCTCACAGCACACACTGCCACACAGCTTAAAGTCATAAAGCTTGCTCAAAACTCTAAAAGGAAGTTGTATTTTGGCTAAAACCTGTACTGGAAACCATTCTACAGCAGATGCTGACTTGGGAACCACAGCAGAATAATACAACGTGATAGACAGCACAGAATGTGACAGAGGGCAGTCTCCAACAATTTCCAACATTACACTGCAGGCCTTGCTGCAGGAGGTGGGACGTGCATTATCCGTAGTGGGATAGCAGGCAGTGAGATCAAGCTAATTTGAAAGCAGGAATCCAACCCTGGTTGCAGGGCCACAAAAGGTTCAATGACCTTATTCAAATGGTTAAGATCAGTGAATGCATCTTTCACTGCTGTATCCCACCCCCTGCACTATCTGCCTCATGAACTGCTCAATGCACCAGGCTACACCAACAATTTCCATCAACCTCATGCTGCAAGCCTCATATCCATATCTCACAGTTCGTATGGCACTGTTAACTGTCCAATCATGCCAGTCACTTCACTCAAATACATTACACCACACTCACTTAAAATTTCCCTCTCTCCTAGGATAAAGTGGTATACAAACACAAGCCCTTTCCTCTCTTCTAGGATAAAGTAATATACAAACACAAGCCCTGACAGACAAAATCAGTGCCATCATTGGAACAAACACGTCTGAGACAACTTCATTACTTACCTGTCTTCTCGCGTCCTATTCCCTTCATGTTTCAATCTCTTCTTTACAAACTGTGTAAATATAAAGGCATCTCTTGCTTTCTAACCTGCGCCCAACCACCCTCTCCTCACATGACCCTATCCTTGTGACCTGCAACTTAGCTAGGCGGTGGTGGAAAAAGAAGAGACTGAAGAACAGAAAGAAATTGGGGAAGTAGAAATATCACCACACGCAGCTACCATGACTATTCTTATAAAGGCTGCATGGTGCATCTGATAGCCAGAGATGTTGATATTTATTAGGGCTAAGAATGACCATTGGGATTGCAGATTAACAAACTGAAAACTTGATGTGATGAATATGCATGAATAGCCATGCTTTATTGTTGAATCTTTGAGATAGTAATTCCTGAGGGTGAAGGTCTGTTTTCAAGTGATATTGATTTGGACATTGGGATGCTGCAGAGGATTTGAAATACTGTGGGTGGAATATGTCTGCCCTCCATTGGGATTAAAGCAGATATCACCAATTCAGTGATAACATTAGTGTAAGCAGCACTTATACTTCATGAGTTATTATAGTTTCAACCAGCTAGAACGAGTTTACTTTACTGGTCATCAGTATCAACATAATTTATTCATAGAATTAAGGAAACTTAAAAGGAGACCATTCAATCTATTGTATATGTGCTTCCTCTTTGATGGAGTAATTGTGCTTTGTTTAATGTCTCTTTAAATTTCTAATTCAATCACCTGTTTCAAGTCTCTTTTAAAATTCTTTTTCAAATGGGGTTCTCTCAGATTTTTGGGTAGAGTTTTCCAAGTGTCTGACAAATTTCTCAGTGAAGATATGTCTCCTTATCTCCCCTCTACATCATTTGCCAATGATTTTAGTTTGCTTCTTTTGGCTTTTCTCGTATTACCTGGCATCACCACAATTCTCCAAGGCTCCTTAGAAAGCACCTTCTAAACCCAAGACTACAAGGATAAGGGCAGCAGATACATGAGAACACCACCACCAACAAGTTCCCTTGCAAACCACACACCATCCTAACTTGGAAACATATTGTCATTCCTTCAGTGTTGCTGTGTCAAAATTGTGGGACTCTCTCCACTTGCATTATGGGTCTACCTACAGCACGTGAAACTGCAGTGGTTCAAGAAGGCTACACTTTCCCAAGGGTAACTAGTGATGGGCAATAAATGCTGTCCCAGCCAGCAACACCCACATCCCAGATGAATGAATTTTAAAAATGTTGATTGGTCAATTTTATGTCAACTATATCATTTTTGGAATTGGTGGATGGTTTTGCTGCCAAATGCCCTTCCTGCCACTAGCCCTCCCTATCTTCTCTGGGCTGTGGACCAGCACCGATACACCCTAGCTTGTCTGTGCCAGTGAACGTGTTCTTTGGTCATAGAGTATGACACAAACCTGGGCAGCAGAATTACCCACTGAAGCATCCTAACTCTTGATTACTTTGAGTCTAAGACCTGTCTGATTATTGACCTATTCACCACTTGGAATTGTTTCTTTTATTTATTTATTTTATCAAAGTCATTTGTCCCACGGCAAATCTTTATTAGACGTCTATAAATCTATTTGTCAAGGAATACAGTACTAATTTTGTCAACTACACCTCATCACTGAAGACCACTATCCCTGGTGACATCTGCTAAACGTACAGGTGTACTCTCACTAAAGCCTTTATATCATTTCTGAAGTACAGAATTGTACACAAGTCTCCAGTTGAGGCTAACCAGTGAGCTATGAAGTTCCACAATGTTTTTAATTTATAAATTCAAGGATCTCATTCTTTAAAAAAAATTAACTTTAACTATTTGCCCTGACTTTAATGCTTTGTGTATATTGACACCAAGGCCTCTCTGTTCATCTACATTTGTAAAAATCCTGTCATTTTGTATTCATCTTTCAAAACTACATCTCTTCACACTTACTCACATTGAGCCTCATCAGTCATGTCTGTGCCCATTTCTCCATCCTGTATGTCTTATGCTGAAGCCTTTACGTGTCCTCATCATTATCTACTATTGCACTGAATTGCACATCATCTGCAAACTTTATAGTGCTGTTCCTGTGTCTGAGTCTAAGTTGTTTATACAATTAAAAAAAAAATGGACCCATGCATGAAAGTTATATATCCACCATCATCTTTTGTTTCCTGTCACTGAGCCAATTCTGCATTTGTACCACCACTTTCCCCATAATTATTTGATCTATGGGCTTCCACCTTTTTTGCGCTTTGTCAAATGCCTTCCAAAGGTTCATATTTACATCAACTTCACTACCTTGATCAAACTTCTTTGTCAGCTCAAAGTATTCAACCAAGTTAGTCAAACACAATTTGCCTTTAGCAAATCAATACCAGCTCTTTTTGATTAACCCATGTCCTTTGATCCGAAAGTATTTACCCCTCAATAGTTTCCAATAACTTATGCACCACTGACATTAGGCTGCCTGATTTGAATAGTGGCATATTAGCAACCCTCCTGTCCTCCTACACTACACCTGTAATCAATGAGAATAGACCAATGCAATTGCAATGTCCACCGATGCTTCCTTCAGCAACACAGGATTCATTCCAACTGCATTAGACTTCTTAACAACTTTCAGAAGTGCTAACCTTTATAATACGTCTTTGGTGTCTACTACAATCCTATCCATAACCTTCCCCTCCTCTTCTACGGTCACCACCTAGCTTTGTTTTTCTGAGCCTATATCAATCACCTTATCCAAATTCTATTCTATTTTTTGTGAGATGACTGAAATTTGCCAACGAATTTGTTTATTTATCTCCTGTCACTGTCTGAAGCTTTATTAAAGAGAACTGCCACCTCATCCTGCTTTGCAATTGTGTAACAACATTTGATCCAGAAGCAGAACAGCATGGTGAATTTGTAATTTAAAATGGTTGAGAAGTACTTTTCAGAGTTTGCATTAATTGTAAAGAGATTAATTATGATTTCCCTGGATAAAAATAAATGGCTATGTGACCTGGCAACTTTTGACCTGGAAGTACCAACAGGAAGAAAATTAAAATGCCAACACGGTGTAGGCGAGGATAAAGAAGGTGCAGCAAGGTAAGGACAGAGAAAGCATATTTACAAGGAGCTGTACAAAACAGGTTAAAAGGGACAGACAGCATAAAAGAGGATTATGGCAGAAATTGTAAAGTAGGATTGTAAAGCAGTACTATGCTTCAGTTGTGCCAGAGCCAATTGGTTCATTTAACAAGATTTACTAAAGGAGTTCAATGAAGAATCTGTGCAATCAAAGCTGTGGTGAAGCCAGCTATGGAGGTTCTGAAATACAGCGACATTTATGGGACAACTGTCTCCAAGGAACTCCAAAAGACTGGAGCTCTTATTGCAGGTGACTCAAAGACCAAATCCACTCAGTAAGAAAATGAGAGATCCAATGCTGGAAGCCTGAGACATTTATGACAGTTGTGTGTGGGAGGTGGTGTGAATGCATATCATCTTGTAAGATAGTCTTTTTTGTATCTTCTATTCCATGTGTACTAAATACATATATCATGCAATTTGCCTATTAATTTATGTTTAATTTACAGTGATTCTGATTCATTCTAAAGTAAAATGTGCAAAAAGTGAAAACTTTAATTAGTAATTTCTTCATTGGGTGATTTGATAAATTTGGTTAATTTGCTTTACAGTTTCTCCAAGGGGATTGTAACAATTTGCATCAAATAGATTCAGTTCTGAGCCACTTAATATATCCCACCTGTTTAGAATTGTAACACCATCCTTAAACATATCATACCCTCCCATCTTTTTTACTGTTCAACTGGACTTAATACAGCCCAATCATAGTGGCAGGGCCCACTTAAGGTGGGAAAGGCTTCATACCAGGTAACTGCAAAATCACCCACAATTAAGTCAGAGAATGGGTTGACACAGAATTCCTGACTACTGCCAGTGGGACATTAATTAGGCTCATTAATGAGATCAATTGACATGCACTTTCTGATCTCACCATACTTTAGTGGTGGCTCAGGGATTAGATGATGACACACAGCTTTCCCTCGCACTTGGAAGGGTGACCTGTCAAGTTTCCAGCAGTTTTCAGGGAGGTCCCTCATACTCAATGATGGGCCCCACATCAGGAAGCAGTGGTTGAATTCCGTTGAATTTTTTTCTCTCTCAGAGCATATCCTGCAGTGTTACCCTGTACCTTAACACCAGGGAGGCAACACATCATTTGAAAATGACATTTGTGATTACAGACATATTGACTGTTTCACAACTTGCTTAATGTGCTTTCATCTTAATTAACACAGGAGGAGGTGGGAAGTGGTGCAAGATCATTGAAGGAAATAGAAAACTGGCAGTGGAAGTGTGAACATTAGGTAAGGGGACTGTGAAAATAAACTGAAGTCCAAAGGGATTCAGCAGATACAACAGAATGCATTTACATTAACCAGAAGCAACTTCAGACCATGAAAAGAATGTCAACAGACATAACAAATTTTATGATTTAGGGAAGTCTACCCCTCACAAGCTTTTGGGTAGCAGTCCAGCTGCAATAGAATAGGAGGTTGCTTCTACTCTCTGTTAGATTACAAAATCTTATTTTATGTTATGGCAAGGACAGTTTCTGCCACTGCTGTTAATACTTTTGGTGCTCCTGTACTCCAGGTTTTCCTTTTAGTCTTTGCCCAATTCTACGTACGTAACTTACATGTTTCCTACTCTGTTCTGTCTTCATCTCTTATATTTTCCCCTAAAACAGATTGTGTTTAATCTTTCCACAGCTCCCATCACAGATATGTCTGTAAAGATTGGGTACTTTTGCAACACTTTAGCTTAGAGTGTTCATTACTTCCTTTAATTAAATCATAGATCGAGAAGAGGACATTATCCCCCATCATCCCACAATCCAACTTCCAAATTTACTGGAGCTAGGCAAGTCACTTTTGCCAAAATACCGTGGAAACTCTGTGATGATGCATTTCACCATAGAAGATCTGCAGGGTTCAGGGCAGAGAGAGATAAACAAGCATCAGAATGGAAATCTAAATCCTTATTTCTAAATCCCAATATGTTGACTTCAATCTGAATGCACATCCTCTATTTCTAATATTTAGTTTTAAAACCCCTTTGAAATCCAGAGAAAAATAGTAAAAATACCAGAAACCATGGTCCAAATTCAACTTGGATGACAGCAATGCTTATTTAGCTTTCCATGCATATAATCAACATATATCAACATGCTATCATTATACTTGTAAGCCACTGATCTCTACTTACATTCTTTGTACTGTTGAGAAGACTGCTATAGCCATGAAATTCAGCGGTGTAACACCACTATGTAGTCTGCCTTTGTTCCCTGGGGCAGGCAGTGTTTCATATGCTTCATATACAGAATATGCAGCATTCCTCAGTGACGGGGATGCATGCAGCTGAACCCCTTGCATGTGCCCAAGCATGTTGAAGTGGAACTACCCTGATATCACACAGTCCGAGTGGTTGACGTGACAACTTGTGACCTCTACAACCCAGAAGGATAAGAGTAGCTGATGCATAGGAACACCTTTACCTGCACATTCCACTCCAAGCTTCGATCATCCTGACTTGGAACACTATCCTTTCACTGTCACTGCATCAAAATCCTGGAATTTGCTCTCTAAAAGCTCTGTACCTACATGACAAAAACCACAACCCTTAAAGGCGGCAGCTGCTCACTATCTTCTCAAGGGCAACTAGGGATGGGCAGTAAATTTTGGAAGGAGCCTTTTCAAAGGCTCCCTCAACAATACCTTCCACTACTGTCTAGGACAAAGGCAACAGACGCATGGAAACCTCACCACCGGCTAGTTATCCCCTAAGTCACCAACCTTCCTGAGTTGAAACAGCATTGCTGTTCCTTCATTGTTAATATGTCAAAGTCCTGAATCTCCTTTCCTAACAGCACTGTATGTTTACCTTCACTACTGCAGTGATTCAGAAAGGTGGCTTATCTTCACCCTAAGGGAAATAGGAATGGGCAATAAATGCTGGCCTTGCCAGCAATGCTCACATCCCATGAACAAATGTTTAAAAAAGGATTCAATTACAATCGATTACCTGGTTGGCTATACTCTTAAAGTTGAACCCCAGATAAACTCCTTTTGGTTGATTCCTCACTGCTTTAGTTGCCATCCTTTTTCTTTCATTCAAAGATGGGTGTTGGATTCTTCGTTTCTGACTGTGAATGTAACATGTACTTTTAATTAAATCTCTGCATTGTTTCAGACAATTGTACAGAGAATTTCACATCTTAAAATGATGATATCATTATTTTTTATTATTAAGAATTTAAAATGCTGCCATCAGACATCTAAGACATTATTTGCGCTGGTTTGCAGCAATTCTAACAAGCTTAGTGTTTTCAACTATTACTTTGGGAACAAAAGATGAGCAAATATTACTGCTTAAGCAGCAGCACAAATTGGCATATTGAGTGGAACAAATATTATTAAAGATATATTGTGGAGACTTGCTTTTCTAATTGACACATTATACATTCATATCTGTAAAAGAAATTATTTATACTTGGCCATTGAAAACACTGGCACCACATAACTTATTGTCCTTCCTCAATTGACACAAGGGCATCGAGAGTAAAGATGTTCAATCACACATGAAAGGACCAAGTATTAGGTACAATATCAAAGATATTGGAATCAGTGGCGATGATAGTATTGAGGAAATGGAGTATGGACAATTGAGCACTGATTCAGTTTCTCAATCTGACAGTTTTGCTGAACAGCAATCATCTTAGATTTGATATGATTCCTGAAGGATATTAACATTGCAGTATCCCATTCAGCAATTGAAATTGAAGTGGAGGAATTAGGTTCGTCAAAAAAAAATACACCAACCACATTTATTTCCTAGGACACCCATTTGTATTTCCAATCCCACCTCCTTCCTCACTTATTTGCATGTCACCCGACCCACACCCAAACACCATCAGATTAAAACCAAGAGTTGTAATTATAAAGAATCTTTAACAGGGTGAAAGATGCTTCACTGGATTGTTACCAAACAAAATGTGGCAGGGAGCTACATGAAGAAATATTGGAGTGGCTGACCAAGAGTTTGGACAAGGAGGCAGACTTTAAGGAGCACATTAAATGGAGAAAATAGAGGTTGTGAGGAATTCCACAGCATACAGCTTTGGATACTAAAGCTATCAATGATGGAATGAATGGTGGATTAAAATCAGGGACACACAAGAGGCTAGAATTTGAAGAAGCGGAGAAATCTCCAAGATTTGCCGGGTTAGGGTGGCTACAGAGATACGGAAGGACTGATCCAATTGAGATTTTTTTGAAAATTACGATGAGAACTTTAAAACTGAGATGATGCTAGACCAGAAGTTAATGTAGGAAAGGGAATATAACTGCGATGGGTGAACAGGTCTTGGGTCGGGTAGCTCAGTTGGCTAGGTGGCTGGTTTGCAATGCAGATTGATGCCAACAGCAATGGGTTCAATTTCTGCACCAGCTAAGATTACCATGATGGACTCACCTTCTCAACCTCTCCCTTTATTGAGGCATGTTGACTCTAAGGACCACCAGTTATCTCTCTCTAATGTCAGAGCAGATCCATGGCTTGGTAAGACCAAGGCAACTTTACGTTATTTTTTACCAGTTGGTCTTTCACAGTAATTCAACAACTTTAAAAAGGTATTTTCTGGTGCTAATCACAAATGATAAAATGTACTGTATTCTTCACAAACTCTAGGTATTCTACAGAAATGCTGAATCAACTAGAAACTATATCTAATTCAAGATCAATTTCAACCTGGGAACAATAATGTGAGTTCTAAGGGTGGATAGCTGATTCAGTATTCAATGTTCAGAGCTCCTGGCTGATGTTAAACAGAGCAGCTCTGATCTCCAATGATTTAGGTACCACCAGGAAGATACTTCTACAGATACATTCAGTTGTAAGCTGCATAGGTGCATGCCTTGGCATAGTTGGGTGTAAATTCATGTGCAGCTGTGTTTGACAGTGTGAGGAACTGACTAAAAAAGGAGATCCCAACTACCAAGGATGTGGGAACATTTTTGTTATCATTTGTAGGAAACTTTATTGTGAAATTGAAACAGCAAATACTAGAAATATTCAACAGCTCCAATAGTACCTTTGGAAAGGGAAATAGAGTTAGTGTTTTTGGTCAATGACCCTTCACTAGTGCTCTAATGAGCTTTGATGAAGGGTCATTGACTTGATTCATTAACTCTGTTCTTCTCTCTTTATACATACTGCCCGACCTGCTAAGTAACTCCCGCACTTTCTGTTTTTGTTTCAGATTGACAGCATCCACCATGTTTTGCCACTGTAATGTGAATGCCCGCTTAATCTCTGCTGCAGGATGGGGTAAAGCTGTTGGAGATCTTATTTTTACAGGTTCCCCAAGTCCTCCTTCCACACCTACTTTGCTGATAATATCCCATTGAGATACATAATGTATGCTATGATTCACCGCGAGCAATTGAAATACATATGCTGGTATAAAGAATATTAATGTTGACTTACACCGCTTGCTGGTTGGGTATGGATACTGTTAGGATGGAGCTGGAAGTGGATTGCTGTCGCCACCTAGAAATCAAAGGTATGCAGTGATCAATCTAAAATCAACCCAGTCTAACACCATGTAAAAATACATTTGAAATCTCTAAAGCAATGTGATAACAAGATTCTCAGACAACTTAGATTTACACAAAGCACATGATTTGCTTAACCAAAACTACTGGGAGAATTTTCCAGCATCTTAGAGCCATCTTACTTTCCAAACAGTCTTACAAATAATCCCATTTTCTTTAGGATAACTCAATTGGTGCTGTCAGCCTTGGTTCAACAGTAGTGGTTCTTACATCTGCGTCAGAAAGTTATCAGGTCAAGACCCATTTCACAAACTTGAGGCCATCACCTAGGCTGGCATTTCAGCGCTGCAGCATTCAACCTGCTCTCGCTCATATGAGACGTAAAAACAAAAATTCCATCATCCTAATGGAATGTCAGCCATACATCTCAAAAAATTCTGAATACAGTTATAGATCCCATCTGAAGTACTGCATTCATTTTTGGGTAATGCACATCAGAAAATTCACAGGACGGGATTTAGTGCTCTGTGCACTAAGTGTTGGTGCATAAAACTTAAGGACCGACTACCTGCTTGCCCAACCAACGTGAATGTTTGCCAGATCAAGCAACAATGATGCTCGAGTGCTGTCCAGTGAAATTAATTGTCCAATCAGGAGCATCACCACTGAAATCTCACCCCATCTGAGCTTGTTAGCAAATCAAGAGGCCAACAGCCTCAGGGAGCTGGAGACCATCATTGGTGGCTTAGGCTGTGCAGTCATGAATGGTTGGACTGGCAAACAGTTACGTCTTTTTTGGGGTGGTCAGGCATTAAAGGTAATATAATGGCTTTGCTTAAAAAAAAAGTTAATGTTTTTACACAGTCAATTTGAACATTCAGAGGGAATTTAGATAAACCTCGATGTGAAAATAGAGTCAAGTTTCAGATGAACTTTCAATTGCATTCTCGGAAGGTGATTGACACTGTTGATTTTGCACCAAATGCTGGCACAAGACTCTTACTATCCAGCAGTGGAAACCCGCTGTTACAAAGCTTTGATAACTTAGGGAACAAAGGGGGAAGATATGCTTTAAAAGACAGGTGAATGTCATTGCCTTCAGACCAAATCTTTTAAAATGTGTGGAAAAAAAAATGAGTGGAATATGACTCAGGATGCTCTAAGTGTATGTACACGTAGAGCTACCATTGAGACTGTTGCCTCAAGACTGGTTGACTGCAGTCTGCTGGCTGAGCATCACAGATAGCTATCCAAGACAGCCAACATGTAATTGCATTTGTATTTTGAGGAAAGAGTCATAAAAAGAAATACATTTTGGGTTGGCACATCAACTGGAACAGGTTAAAATATTCAGTCAGGTTACAAACCCTCATAGTAAAGCTTGACCAACCTCCCAACAACATTGCACCTTTGAAACAGATCCTATGTATAATGTTTTACAATATACATAGGTGAGGTACAAGTTTAATTGTGGTTTACTATGCACAGGATAAAAAGACCCTCACAATTATATCTCAGTTGCTAATCTTATTTTGGCTCTGTTGCTTCCAGTGGAGAGTTTCAACCACTGCATGCACATATTATGAATCCCCAGAAGCCAAAGATAGCCAACCCCCCACATATTTTAAAATTTTAACCCCATAATATTTGTGAGATGTCATCAACAGATTTACCACCTGGAAGCCAGTCTTGTTAACAGGTCTAGCTTTCAGTCAGTCAGCTGTTAGTCCCCGGAGGGGTAGGGCTAGGGATTCAGAGACTTGGGGAGATGGGAGATGAGAGATAGTGTTATCACAGGTTTTAGTGGGAAGTTTGGACGTCTATGGGTTTGGGAATTAGCATTGCACGTATGGAGTTGTTAGCTTTACAAACACACAAGAAGTTACCACAGGGTTGCTCTCTCATTGGAGATAGACTGGTGGTGGCCCAACCGGAGGGTCACTATGCCTCAGGTGAGGGGAGAAGTTGAGAAGCACAGTCCTTCATGGTAATCTCAGCCTGTGCAAGAATTGAACCCACACTGTTGACTTCCTTCTGCATTGCAAACTAGCTGTCCAGCCAACTGAGCTAACTCCACCCTCCACTTTCAGAGAGACAGGACTGGCACTGGTTTAACCTGAGGGTCACAATGCCTGTAATGAGGGGAGAGGTTGAGAAGGACAATCGATCATGGTAACTGCTGCTGGTGCAGGAATTGAACCCATGCATAGACCTTAGAACCTTTGATAGAACATATGTCTAAAAGACAATTACTTACATCCTAGTTCTTTGTTTCTTCTGCCCATCTCTTACACCCAGTGATGGAAACTAAAAATGAGACAAATGAATAAGCAAAATGAATTAAACTCCTTAACTCAGGACATCCTATTCACTTTGGATTCTAAATTTTATTGCTGTCACTATACAGAAACAATCCAAGATAAATTTCTGGTAGGAGCAATGACTGCAGATGCTGGAATCTGTACTGTAAACAACAAATGCTGGAGATCACAGCAGGTCAGGCAGCTTCCACAGAGAGAGAGCAAGCTAACATTTTCGAGTCTAGATGACCCTTCATCAGATAAATTTCCATTAAGATGATCTATGTTAAATAATATTTCTAAAAACTCAAATATTTGTTGCCTCAACATGGCAAACATTTACAGTCACAGTACGAACATTTAAGTTGGAATACTACACTCAGCTCTGGACATCACACTAGGAAAGATGCCGAGGCCTTGGATAAAGTGTATATAGGGGATAATAGGCTGCAGCTATGTGGAAAGATTGGAGTAGATGGAGTTGTTTTCCATACAACACAGAGGATTAAGAAGAGATTTCAATGAGGTCTTCAAATTCATGAACGGCTTTGACAATGTAAATAAAGAGAAACTGTCTCCAGTGGCAGAAGTATCAGAATTTAAAGCATGCATATACCAGGTAAATGGCAGAAGAACGAGGGCCAACACAAAGAAACATTTTTATACAATGAATTTTCATCATCTGGGATTTGTCTGAACAGATGGTAGAAGCAAATTCAATGATAACATTTAAAAGTGAAATGGGCAATTTCTTGAAGTGGAAAAAGGTACAACTCAATAGGAAAGGATGTACTTTAGTGGGAAGAACGAGGAGAGACAATTGATGTTAAATTGTACAATTTGAAAGGGGATGCATGAAAGGGTCCTTGTGCATACATTTTTGAAATTGGCAAGACAGATTAAAAAACCAATTATTAAAGTTTATGAAATACTGGATTTATATAGAGGCATTGGAAACAAAAATCAAGAAATTATGTTTAATCTATATAAAACACTAATTGGATCCAAATTGAAGTACTGTGTCTAATTCTGTGCATTACACCTTCGGAAGGATGAGAGGGATTTGGAGAGGAGGGAACAGTATAGACTGAATGGTTCAAGGCTGAAAGATTACATTTCTGTGGTTAGACTGGTTGTTCCTCTTGGAGCAAAAAACCAAAGATGAGATTTGATAGCAGTGTTAAAATCTCAGATGGTTCCAGCAAAGTAAGTGAGCAGAAAAAGTATGGGTTGGTGAGCTCAAATGGTTAGTGTTTGTTGAAGAACAATGCCGACAGCATGGATTCTGTTCCTGTCCCAACTGAGGTAGTTCTTGGAGTCTATTCTTTCTCATATTGCTTGTGGTTATAATACGGCATAACTCATAGTTATCAACCTGCAGCCAGTGAGGACAATACATGGAGAAAAGAGAGAGAAACAAAGAGAAACTGTTTACAATGGTCAATGGCCTAAAAGTTATAAGGAGAGCCTGGAATGTCTTCCCCTGCAGCATAGGAGGTTGAGGGATGACCTTATAGAGGTTTATAAAATCAAGAGGGGCATGGACAAGGTGAAAAGCAAATGTATTTTTCCTAGGGGAGGGGAGTTCAAAACTAGAAGGCACCTGTTTAAGGTGAGAGAAGTACGATTTAAAAGGGACCTAGGGGTAACTTTCACAGAGGGTAGTTTGTATGTGGAATGAACTGTTGGAGGAAGTGGTACATGCAGGCACAGTTACAACATTTAAAAGACATTTGGATAAGTACATGAATAGAAAAGGTTTAGAGGGATAAACAGCAGGCAAATGAGATTAGTTTAGAATCGGAAACACGGTCGGCATGGACTAGTTGGACCAAAGGATCTGTTTTTGCACTGTACACCTCAATGACTCAATGAAAAGAGTAGGGGTGTGGAATTGATTAGATAGCTCTACCAAAGAGTTGATAGGCTAAATGGTCTCATTCTGTGCTGAATTATTCGATTATGCTAACATTTTTCCAGCAAATTTAAATGATCCAAGTTTCACCCACATATTGAATTTTTCACATTGGGCTTTAAATTTTTATTACAAATATTTATTGTGCTAGCAACAAAATATGATCTATGTTTTGTTTTCTTCATGTTCATTTTTGACTGTTCTTATTATTCCATGGTCAAAAGCCATCCTTTATTACCACACAAAAGACCATTCTTTGTGATCAATTTTAGTTTATTTCCTCGAGCATTAATGGGGCAGTATTTTTCTTAAAAATCCAGCTAGGAACATTACTGCCCCGTTAATCCAAGAAATCCACCTAGTTACATTTTAAAACAGGAAATCCAACAGACCAGCTCTGTTTCAGACAATATTCTTAACTTAAAAGGCAGCATGATGTAATTGGGTCATGACTGCCACTTTAGATGGGAACTGACCAGAACATGTACTGAGCATTTTGACAATCAATAGAAGCAAAGACATCTGGTGAAGAATCAACTGAAATTACACTTGTGGGATCCTTTCATGATTGCAATCCTCCTCTTCCCACTGCTGCCACTCCACACTCATCTTGCTAGTGGTTCAAATATCCATTCATTAGCTAGACTCAATTTCCTAAATTGCACTGAAATGCCTGTTTTTCACCCGCAGCCTTCTTGCCCAACATCAATAAGGACAGTACTTTAAAGCTGCGGCTATCTTTCACCACAATTGCTGAGAAAGCTCTGCCACTGGCTACTTAGAATCAGTGTTATTACAATGATAACATTGCAGAAGGAGGCCATTCAGCCCACTGTGTCTGCACTGGCTCTCTGAGCATTTCAACTTCATGCCAATCACCTGCCTTTTCCCTGAAATGCTGCATGCTGTTTCTATTTAAATAATCATCTAATGCCCTCTTAAATGCATCAGTTGAATCTGTCTCCACCATATTTCCAGTCAGTGGATTCCATACCTTAACTACTCACTGAGAGAAAGTTTTTCTCTCACATCACCATTGCTTCTTTTGACAATTGCTTTCTACGCCCTCTCATTCATTGTTGTTTTACAGGCAGGAACAGTTTCTCTCTACCTACTCCATCTAGCCCACTCATGATTTTCAAAACGTCTATCAAATCTCCTCCAGGCCTTCTCTCCAAGGAGAACAATCCCAACTCCTTCAATCTGTCCTCATAACTGGAGCTTCTTATTTCTGGAACTATTTGTGTAAATTGCTTCTGCACGCTTTCCAATGCATTCTCATTTTTCCTACAGTGTGACACCCACAACTGCACACAGTACTCCAGCTGAGATCTATCTATGCCTTGCAGAGGTTCAATACCACCTCCCTGCTCTTGTAACCTACGCCACCATTAATAAAGCTGAGAACACTGCATGCTTTATTCACTGTTCTCTCTACCTGTCCTGCCACCTTCAATGATCTGGACACATCCAGGTCCCTCTCCTCCTGCACCCACTTTAGAACTGTACCCCTATTTTATAATGTCTTTCAGTGGTCTTCCAACCAATGTGTGTCACCTCTCATTTGTCTGCATTGAACCTTTTCTGCCACCTATCCGCCGGCTCCACCAACTTGTAAATGTCCTTTTGGAGTTTACATTTACAATTCTTCCACACTTAGTGTTATCTACACACTTTGAAATTGTCTCCTGCACACCAAGATCCAGATCATTAACACATGTCAGGAAAAGCAAGAATCCCAATATTGATCCTTGGGAAATTCCACTGCAAACCTTCCTCCAGTTCAAAAAATATCCACTGACCATGACTGTGCTTCCTAGCACTCAGCCAATTTTGTATCCATGTTGCTACGATCCCTTTTAAATCATGGCCTACATCTTTCCTCATAAATCTGTTGTGTGTCACTGTATCAAACATTTTCTAGAAATCCATTATAAACACATCGCCCTCACTGACCTTTTCTGTTCAAAACAAATCCAGCAAGTTAGTCAAGCAATGATTTTCCCTTTAGAAATCCATTCCCACTCTTCCTAATCAACCCACCTTTTCCCATGTGGTTTTGATTCTATTCCAAATAAATCTAGAAGGTTCCCCACCACTGGAGTTAAATTAACTGGTTTGTAATTGTTATGATTATCCTTGGAACCTTTCTTGCACAAGGCCATAATGTTTGCAAACTTCCAGTCTTCTGGAACTTCCTCCAAGTTCGGGGAAGACTGAAAGATTGTGGCCCGTGCCCCTTCAATTTCTACCCTCACTTACTTCACAATCCTTGGCTGCATCTCATCTGGTCCCAGTCCCTGTGAACTTTAAGTGCCAACAATTTATCCAAGATTTCTTGCTTATTACTTTTGAACTCCTCTAGAAACAGAGTTTCCTCCTTTGTCACCGTGATTTGGGCAGCATCCTCCTTTTTTTTGTAAAGACAGATGAAATGTATTTATTTAACATGTCAGCCATGCCCCCTGCCTCCAAGTGTAAATCACCTCTTTGGTTTCGTGATCAGTCTTACTGTTTATAGAAGTCTATAGAAGACTAGGGGATTTTCCTTTATATTAGGTGAATTCTAGAAGAACGTGTGAGAAACAGCTGCTTCAAAATGTGTAAATAAATTCAGTAGTTTTACAATCCAAGTGGCAAGTGGTAGCTGAAGGGAATACGGCTCATAGCTACAACGTTGAAATTCTTAATTTCCACCTCATGGTCTTCATGAATGCCTTGTAATGGAGGAACCAGGATTAATGAATTTGTCCTGTAGAGTCCAGATGGCACACAGGCTGTCGTTTCCACCTTTCTGACCTCGACAAAACTTAGTGAAATTGAGATAGTAAGAACTGCTGATGCTTGAGTCAGAGATAACACAGTGTGGAGCTGGAGGAACACAGCAGGCCAGGCAGCATCAGAGGAGCAGGAAAGCTGACCTTTTGGGTCAGGACTCTTGAAGGGCTCTGACCCGAAACATCAGCTTTCTTGCTCCTCTGATGCTGCCTGGCCTGCTGTGTTCCTCCAGCTCCACACTGTGTTATTAGTGAAATTGAGCAGTGGTCTTAACCTGGAGGTGATCAATGTACTGCAACTCATCTTCGGGAAAGGGCACTCAACATGAAGGAGCTATTCTGAAACACAATAAAGGAGAGTAGCCTTTTGTCTTTTTAGGTAATCTCTGCTTTGCAGTAGGGTGTTATCTGAAATCAATTGCATTCCTTCAAATTCTTCTTCAAAAATGTCAATCTATATTGTGAAACACACCCCTCTGTTAATTTTGATTACGGCTTGTCGTTGTTGCTTCTGTGTTGGTTTCCTCTGCTGCCTTGGCCCTCTATTCTGGAACATATTCCTACAATGACAAAAGATCACAATTACAAGCTATTTTGAAGAAAAATGCTAAACAATATTTCAATAATTACATCATTAATAGCATATCTCAAAACTGGCACTGGATTGATGCAACTCCATTCAGCGGTTGAAATTGAAATGGAATATGGAGGCCAAAAAAAAAAACCCACTAGCCACATTTATTTCCTCGGGCCTCTGTATACCAATTCCTAATCCCACCGCCTTTCTCCCTTAATTTTCACACCAAACCTGGACACCATCAGATTTAAATAAAGACTTGCAATTATAAAAAGAGTCTTTAACATAGTGAAGCATCACAAGATGCATCATTGGTGTGTAACAAACAAAATGTCACAGGCAGAAAGAAGAAGAAACATTGGATTTTCTGATCAATAAGTTGGACAAGGAGACAGGCTTTAAGAAGCATCTTAAAAGAAAGGGTTAGAGGTAGCCAGGGTGGGAGATTTCGAGTGGACTTCCAGAGCTTGCATTTTAAAGCTATCAATGATGGAATGATGATGGATTAAAAATCAGGGACATACAAGAGGACAAAATTTGAAGAATTGTAGAAATCTCTAAGATTTTTAGGATTGGGGTGGCTGCAGAGATAGGACGGACTGATCCAAAAGACTTATTTGAAAGTAAGGATGGGAACTTGAGAATCACGGTGATGCTGGACTTGAAATCATCGTAAGAAAGTGAATATAGGTATCATGGGTGAACAGGTCCTGACTGAAGTTAGGGAAAGCACAACAAATTGTTGAATGAATTCAAGTTTATGTAAAATGGAAGTTAGGAGGTTGGTCATGAAGAACAATGCAATAGTCAAGCCTAGAGCTAACAAAGGATTGGATGCAAATTTTTGCAGTAGCTCTGTTGAGGGACAAGCAAAGTTGGGAGATATTTTATGGGTAGACTTAAGCATTCCATGTGATGGCGTGCTCAGAAGCTCAACTTGATGTCAAACACAACGACAAGTCTGTGGACATTTAGCTTAGCCTCAAAGGGCTTCCAAGGAAAGCAATAGTCAGTGGCTGGTAATGGATACCAGACAATCAAGAGACGCTGGAGATAAATTTTAAAATTGAATTACAGCATTATTGTCTTGTCAACAAAAGTGTAGATCAATTTGCAGTTTTTTAACATAAAGTCCAGATGATAGCTGAATCAGACTTAGTGGAAAGAGCAGATTAATCCTGGCGAAGCAACAAGGTAAAAGTTCATCAGTGCAATTTATTTGGCAACATAAAACTGAAGTTTGCATTTACAATGTATTATTGATTCTGTACGAAAATGTGTTTAATTGAATATTGTGGATAATTTGTTTATTTTTGTGAATAAGTATAATGTCCTCCTAGTTTATGTGCTCACATACTCAAGGGCAAACTTTCAAAAACAATTTAAAAGGCCACAATGAATTTCTGCTCCATTCACTGATGCACATTATCACCATATTAATTTAAAGCTGTTTCTCTTTCTCCTCTGTTAGAGTAGCAATCTGACCTTTGGCTGACTATATACCACTCCATTGTGAAAAAACAAGAAGTCTTACAATCAAATTGGCCCAGTGTTCCTCATGGCGCCAATCATTCTTCATACCTACAGTTACTTTCTTTGTTCCTCTCACTTTCTTGTAAGTTGAAACCATTGTGCTTCCCCCTTAATATCTACATCTATTCAAGAAAAAAATACAGACGCAAAAGGGACTGCTGAATTTGTTCTATTTATCAATGCAGTTTGTGCACTGGGAGCAAGGCTAATATTTATTGAATATTCATAATTACCCTTGAACAATGATGGTGAGCTACCTTCTCAAACCACTGTGGTGACATGGGGCTATTCACTACTATGGGATGGATTTTCCAGGATTTTGACTAAGTGTCAATGAATTCAGGATTGCTGCGTGGCTTGCAAGAGAACTGACTAGTTTCTACGCATCTGCTTCACTTTTTAGAATAGACAATTGACAAGACCTTGGAAAGTGCTGCTGTGCATCTTCTATTTATAAGGTGTGTGTCATTGGCAAGGAGTGAATGCTAGAGGTGTTGGATGGGGTGTCAATCAAGTGGGCTGCTTTATCTTGGATGGTGTCGAGGTTCTTGAATGTTACTGGAGTTGCATTCATCAGGAAAGTAGAGGATCTTCCATTACACTCCTGATATGTGCCTTGTAAATGGTGGTCAAGCTTTGGAAAGACAGAAGTTAAGATATCAGTGACAGAATTCCCAGTGTCTGACCTGTTCTTGTAGTCATGGTCTTTATATGGCTGGTCCAGTTCAGTTTCTGATTAATGGTAGCTCACAAGCTGACATTAATGTCATTGAAAGTCTTGGGGAGATGGCTAGACTCTCTTTTGCTGGAGATAGCAATAGTCTAGCATTTGTGTGGTTTGAGTTTTATTTGTCATTTATTCAATCCTGAAACTTATCCAGTTCTTGCTGTATGCAGTCACCAATTGCCTCATTACCTGAAGAGTTGTGAATGCAGTTGAACACTGTCTATACATCAACAACTATTACATTTATGATTTTGAAGTTGATTATGCCAAAAGCACTATTGTGTCAAATCACAGCAATGATGAGGGTGCTGTGATGGTAAGCCTTCAACAACTACACCATCCTCCTCTGTGCCAGGTGTAAGTTCAATCAGTGGAGAATTTTCACCTAATTGCCAACAAATTCAGTTTTGCTTTGGCTCCTTCACATCACACTAAGTCAAATGCTGCCTTGCTGTTAAAGTAGTCAGCGTCATGTTTGGAATTTAGCTCTTTTGCCTTTGTGTGGACCAAGGCTATAGTGAGGTTTGGAGAGAGATTGATGTGACAGAGCACAAACTTCACTTTGGTTAGCACTTCGATATAATGGGACCTCATTATATTGCTTTAGTCTCCCACATGTCAAGCACCTAGATTGGACCTGCTGCCTTTTAAATATTAAAACCATAGCTGAGGATCAAAGCAACAGGTGGGATGAGGGTTGGTAGTGATAGGTGGTGGAGGCTAGATATTGATATTTTGTGGTGGGAGAGAGAGGGTGGAAAAGAGAAGTGGGGGGAGAAATGGGAGAAAGGGGAGAGAGAGAGAGAGAGACACAGAGAGAGAGAGAGAGAGAGACACAGAGAGAGATAGAGAGAAAGAGAAAGGGAGGGGGAGAAAGGGGAGAAAGAGAGAGAGTGGGGGAGAAAGGGGGGGGAGAGAGAGAGAGAGAAAGAGAGAGAGAGAGAGGGGGGGAGAAAGGGGAGAGAGACGGGAAAAGAGAGAGGAGTAAAAGAGAGAGATCATTGCTGTCTTCATGGGTGTAAGGATTGGAAGGAGCAATTATGGATTATGCATCAATTAGGTCACTTATTGTTTGTTACCTTCTTTTTGGAATTTGAGGTCCCTGTCTTCTTAGCCTGAACCTCTTCTGGGCCTGCTGTGCTCTTCTCCGCATGATCCATTGAATTCCTTTCTTCATGGGTGCAATTTGTTGCAAATCCTAGAAAGAACACTGGATTTTAAATTATTTTCAAAACACTAGACATCATTACGTAAAAACAAGGGCTATTACAGTTCAACAGATAGGTTTGTATTACCATGCAAAAACTGGCTTTACGATTCAAAGGGCTCACTCCTTTCGCTGCAACAATAGGTCTTCTTCCACCTGATCTTGCTATGATATTTTTACCTTGTGTCAGCCAACGTCGATTAACTCTGCTGTACCCTTGCAATTCAGAAGTATTTCTCCTTAGTCTATTGGATCCTACTGAAATTGACACAAACAAATAATTTGATGAGCGTACTTGAACACATGTTAATGACCACATTAAATTCTGGAATTCAACACTGGTGATGAATCAGTAAACTGACTTAGAAAAGGGCTACATTTCATGACGCAGAGGTTCCTGGTCTGTAGTCACATTAGACAGGAGCATGTATCAAGAGAATGGGGCAAGAATGCCCACCTGACCTATACCACACCCGGCTTCTTGACAATTCCAAGCTCTGGTATACATTCTTATACTACGCAAATATTTAGCAAATATGACATAGTTATCAGCAGGTTTCTATGCTAACAACATATACGATATCCACATTTAACTGCTTGTAGCAGGTTCTCAGTCAAATTAGAAGTACTGTTTAAAAATAATCATGATAAGCATTTCCATTCCTGAACTTGTCTTTAATTTACTTTTTTAAATTTCTTGCTCTGCATTTTGCTATAACCTTAAAGGTACTTTTTCATTTTATTTTACTCTTTTTTGTTTGTTTTACACTTTAACCTATCAATCCATATTGTTTTAAAATTTCCAACCATTTCATTATACTTCTATATTATCAAACACAGAATTTCATCTCTGTGCTAGTGTAATAAACAGGCTAGACTATTCAAATTGAACATTATCTTTGTATATTTTGAGGACTTAACCAAAAATAAGACAATTTTACCTTATCTTTTCAATTATTCACTGGTATTTTTCTGTCTATTGTATTCCTTTACTCGTTGTACTTCAATCAATGGATAATAGGGAACAAATATGTTTGTTGCAAACTAGATTATAAATAAGTCCTTCATAAATGGAATTGCAACTTTGCTTCAGCTAATGTAAAAGGAAAATCCCTCTCTCCTGCTTTATTGATAATACCATTGGTCACTAACTTACACAAGAGATCAGTTGCTAGCAATGGGATACTAATAAATCTGGCAATAAAAAGCAAGGTCAGATCAATTGTTCAGTTCCTGGGCTTGCAGTGGTCAGCATTCACTCATTTAGTTGCATGATTATATTCAATGAATTTGAGGTCACCTTGTACATTTTGCTGCACTCTTCTTCCAAAATGATATTGCAGCTTACGAAAATCTAAATTCTGTTGCCTTTTCTGCAGTTCTTTCGTCATCACTAATGTGTTTGTTACAGGGTCGGTTTCCCTTTTATTCAATTTGATAATGTCATCTATAAAAACATAAGAGCATATTAAAAATGGTCACAAAATTACTATAGTTTTGCTGCATAAAATTGGAATGTGTTTTCAGATGCAGAATTCAATACATTTTCCTTACCTTGGTGTGCTAAAGGTGAAATGGGTGCCAAAATTGGAAAGTGAGACACTTTGGGTTCTTTGTGCCACATTACATCAAACATATTTTACAGAAAAGTCTGATGTATCAGATAATATGTAAAGAAAAGCTGGATTAGGGTCTAGGCCCGAAACGTCAGCCTTTCTGCTCCTCTGATGCTGCTTGGCCTGCTGTGTTCATCCAGCTCTACACCTTGTTATCTCTGGATTAATATGCCTCAGTTTTAACTTTAGAACAGTGTTCTATAATTCTACAATCACAAGTTCTGAATTGAAGTAATGAGAATTTTTCATTGCCCATCATTACTGCCTTATTGAAAGAGATTGAAGAAAAATGTTATCTAAATTAGGGACAAGTTAATCTTGAAGACTGTCAACCTAAGAGGAAATGACTTAGGAGTATTTTTACATATTGCTTTGAGTGTTTTGTATGGCTATTGGGAAGCGTAAAACATTTAAAGTGTCTTACAGCGGCTGAAAACAGCGCACTTTTTAAATTAAAATATTGTAACCTATCAAAAATGAAACTTTTGTTTATTCAATCAAATGCTACATATTCCTCCACTGTATGCATGTAAGAATTAAAAAGATGTAACATGCAGTATTCAAGAATCTATTAAAAATTATTACAGGATCCGATGCTAGGACTCTTGCCTCAGTCCCATTTTTGCTAGTGTGGGATAAGGATGCAGGTATTCATCCAGCTTGCAACATTTCTGCCCTTTCTTACTCCATCTTGGGACAAGCAATTTAAATCATGTCATAATTTTAGTGTAATTCAGGTCCCTTCAGTAAGTAGATGGGGTTCACAGAAGAGGGGTGAAGTGCAGGAGACTTCAAGTGGGGAACAAAAGAAAGGTTTCAACGATTTCATTTACACCTTTTGGAATAGAGAAAATAAACACATTTGCTCTTTCAGTTTCAATTACTTGATGCTATTCTGCAAGTTGGATGTATGTTTGCTGAAGTGATTGATTACATGGTTCTGTTAATTAAAGTTGTTTGTCATCATATTGATCAGTATTATGATATATATTAGTAAGTGTTGGGATGGATTAGAATATTTTCTCCTTCAAGGAAATCTGCTTTTATGCATTCTAAATGCAAAACAAAACATTGTTTGGATTTCTAGTAGAATAATCTTAAGAGATATAAATACCTGAGTACTCCTAAAATGGAAAACAAAATTTTCAGCAGCTTTCACTGAAAGAAAAATATTCTTACCTGTTCCCATACTGCTTTGATTTACAGGATGTGCTAAATTAAAAGGCTACGTTTTTCCCCCAGTTTCAACAGATGCCATTGTTCATTTCTCACAGCTTTTATTGTTACAGCCTAGCTCATTACGAATGTTTGACAGTTTCAAAAATACAGAAACATGTCCAAGGTGCTGTGATCACATTTTAATTGCCAGAGATCAGGGTTTTAAGAGGTCATTAAAGGATCAGATGTCTTTGATGTGGTTATTGGAAATAGACACTTGTTTTAAAAACAGGGTGATGACCAGAGCAGATATTTTTTAAATTTTAATTTTTAATATGTTTTCGAATGAGCATATTTCTCAGTATGAAGTGTGGTTAAGGGTGAGCTCAATTAGAACATTAGGCATATTTTGATCATCTCCGTTTCAAAGATATATCTCCTGAGTTCTGCATTGAGAGGACATGGGTATAATGAGGGATATGGAGCATGGAGGGCAATGTGGTAAGTAGGGCTAAGGAGCAAGCTGATTTGCACACCTTCTCTGTTACCTCTGGTCTTCCTCCGGAGATGCTGGGCATGTCTCCATCCACCCACAACCCCAGAAGAAGAATATGATGGGTAGGTGCCTTTATAATCCAGCTCATGTTTCAGGTCAATGACACTTCATTAGCACATTGTTTTTACTAAACTTGCATTGTGCTTTCACTGCCTAAATTAGGATGCAAAACTCTTTGACATTGCATCAGATTGAGATCAATGTATATAAAGTGTAAATACTCCATTCGTTGGTGTCATACCTCAGAGAAAGAGAAATGGTTGTGTTCATTGGAGACCAATCATCAGGGACAATGTTGGCAATAGTGCTAATGTCATGAGAATGGTACTTCAGAGGCCTCAGGTAATCCTTAAGTGACAGCTAGTAGAATTGAAATTCAATTGATAAAACCTGGAATGGAAAGCTCGTAATGCTGACCATGAAATTATCATCAATTGTGGTAAAAACCCATTTCAGTTCCTATGGAAAAGGATATCAGTCAGGCCTTTATGTGACTCCAGATTAACGTCAATGTTGTTAACTTTTAACTGCCCTCTGAAGTGACCCAGCAAGCCATTCAGTTCAAGAGCAATTATGGATAATTACAAGTAGGTTCATAAATGTCACTTAAGTGACTAATTCCAACAAGAGTGTTTAACATTGTTGAATCCTCACTATCAGCATTCTGGAAGTCAGCAATGCGTTCCATCAGAACCTTAACTGGACCACATACGTACATCGAATACAAGAGAAGGTTAGAAACTATTTTTTTAAAACGATAAGGTACTTACTTCCTGACTCCATAACAGAGACATGACTGCAGTAAACAATACCAGGATCTGAATATTCAAGGGTACATCACATTTCAGATGGACAGGAAGCTAGGAAAGTATAGTCACATTGTTCTGATAATTAAGGATGACATTCATACAAATAATGAGAAACAAATTGGTGGTGTAGTGGACAGTGAAGAACGTTACCTCAGAGTACAACAGGACCTTATCAGATGGGCCATATGGGGCGAGGAGTAACAGATGGTGTTTAACTTACTTAAACGGGAGGTGCTGCATTTTGGAAAGGCAAATCAAGGCAGGACTTATACACCTAAAGGTAAGGTCCTGGTGAGAGCTGCTGAACAAACGGACCTTGGACTGCAGGTTCATAATTCCTTGAAAGTGGAGTTGCAGGTAGACAGGATACTGAAGAAGACATTTGGCACGCTTGCCTTCATTGGTCAGTACATTGGGTACAGGAACCAAAAGTACTGCGGATGCTATAAATCAGAAACAAAAACAGAAGTTGCTAGAAAAGCTCAGCAGGTCTGACAATGTTTCGGGTCCAGTGAGCATTCTTCAGGGTCACCCTTCTGAGGAGGGTCAGCAACTTCTGTTTTCGTTTGTGCACTGGGTATAGGAGTTGAGAGGTCATGTTGCAGCTGTACAGGACATTGGTTAGGCCACTTTTGGAAATAATGCGTACAATTCTGGTCTCCTTACTATTGGAAGGATGTTGCGAAAATTGAGAGGTTTCCGGAAAGATTTAGAAGGATGTTGCCAGGTTTGGAGGGTTTAAGCTACGTGGAGAGGCTGAATGGGCTGGGGCTATTTTCCCAGGAGTATTGGAAGGTGAAGGGTGACTTTCTAGAGGTTTATAAAATCACGAGGGCATGGACAGGGTGAATAGCCAAGGTCTTTTCACTGGATGGGAGGAGTCATGAACTAGAGGGCATAGATTTAAGATGAGAGGGGAAAAGTTTAAAAGGGACCTAAGGGGAAACATTTTCACACAGAGGGTGACGTGTGTATGGAATGAGTTGCCAGAAAATGTGGTGGAGGCTGGTACAATTACAACATTTAAAAGACATCTGGATGGGTATGTGAATAGGAAGAGTTGAGAGGGATATGGGCCAAACAGGATTCGATTTATTTAGGACATCTGGTCAGCATGGACGTGTTAGAACGAAGGGTCTGTTTCCATGCTGTACAGCTCTATGACTCTAAATTCAGTTATCATCACAGAATTGAACCTGGGTCCTTGGCGCTGTGAGGCAGCAGTGCTAACCACTGAGCCACCACACCGCTGTCCTAAAAATAAAAATGTAAATTCAGTTTTGTATAGAGATGAGAGACAGAAAAGGGAAAAAGATAAGCATGGGAATAGATTATTGGCCTCCTAACTATAATAAATCAATAGGGCAGGGTAAAAAGAAGAAATAATGGGGACATCTAAGGAAGGCACTGTGATTATCATGGGCGTTTGAAATCTGTGAATTGATTGGATGAATCAGTTTGGCAAAGAGTGCCTGGAGATGGGAAAAAAATGAGGTTATGCACTTTGGCAGGAGGAATAGAGGGGCTGAACATTATTTAAAATGGAAAAAAGACAGCAGAAAATTACAGAAGAGAGGGATTTGGGAGTCCTCATGTATGAATCACAAAAAAGCTAACATTCAAGTTCAATGAGTAATAGGGAAGGCAAATGGAATGTGGACCTTTGTTTCAAAGAGGATACAGTATACAAGGCACTATACAAGGCACTGGTCAGAACACCGCTGGAATATTGAGAACAGTTTTGGATTGCTTGTCTAATGGAAGATATCCTAGCATTGGAGGCCGTCAGAGAAGGTTCACAAGGCTGATGCTGGGTATGAAGAGACTGTCTTATGAGGAGAGGTTGAGTAGGTTGGTGCTGTACTCATTGGAATTTAGAAGAAAGGGAGGTGACATCATTGAAATGTATAACATTCTTCAGGGACTTGACGGGGCACTAAGGTTGTTTTCCTTTATGGGAGAGTCTAGGACCAGAGGGCATAATCTCAGAAAAAGGGGTCACATGTTTAAGTCAGAGATGAAGGGGAATTTCTTCTCTAAGATGGTAGTAAATCCATCAGCCAGTTAGCCTAACATCTGTCAAAGGCCAAATGTTAGAATATACCATTAAGGTGGTTATAACAGGGACCTTAGCAAATCCAAAAGGCATTTACTTTACTAAACATTACTAAACAAAGTAAGAGGTCATGGCATAAGAAGTGACATATGATCAAGGACGGACGGATTGGGTGGCTAACAGGTAGTAGATAGAAACGATAAATGAGTCATTTTGGAGTTGACAACTGTTAGTAATGAATTGGCAAAGAAT